ACAGCACATCAATGCGGGAAGACCATCCAGGGAAGCAACAACAGGCGGGCCATCGAGGAGTGACGCGGACCGCAGTACCGTCATGGAATAAAACCCCAGGCGCCCATCAGAGCGTGACGACTCGAGAAAACAGCCGTCCATCCAGGAGCGGGAAAACCATCAGGGGCAACCAGTCGCAGTCAGGAGCGAGGAAAACCAAGAACAACAGGACCAGCGCCATCGGAGGAGCGGAAGCATCCAGAACAACAACAGCCCGCCATCTAGGTGACTGGGCACCAACCTATCGAGGAGACAACAACATTGTGGATGCTTGTCCAACCGTGCCGATGCCAGTGAGCCGTGCGGGTATTGGTGCGCCCCAAAATGATGTGTTACCAAGTCCTGACAGGTTGTGGGGTCGTGCAATGAGGGGGGGGTGGGCCATAGCTGTGCAGACAGCATACTGCACCGAGAAGAAGTGATGGTTAGGTGGACTTCGAGTGAGAAACAGCTCTCAGCATAATGCAGCTTCAGGTACCGAACTAGTTGACCGTGAGCTAAACCAGCGGTACGGCGACCAGTTTCAATAGAACTGAATATTAAAAGCATCAAAAGTATGACAGAGCTTCTATTGGGACTGCTTAGTTCTCCAGTCGTAGCTAATAAAGTGGTCCTTCGAGTATGTAAGCGCTGTATTGTGGTCATTAGTATGTAGTTTCTTTATTGCCATTTAAAAAAAAACAAACGGGCGGCCTGGGCTGCGTTGCCAGATACTAAGCTGAAAGTGTATCTCTTACATAGGCTGAGAGCATACCATCCCGAGTACCGTTTATCTTTTGCTGTTATGTTAATGAATAGTGGTGTAAATCACTGTCACTAAAAGTGTGAGTAAATAGCGAGGTGTACCTGAAAATACTGCGGGATGAATCGAAAACGGCGCCTGGTATCACATCTTGAAGATGTTCAGTAAGGTATGACAGTTGAGTTGTATTGATGGAATGAAAAGTTATCACAAGAAAGGAGTGCAATGCAATGTGCACGCACACTGCAGCGTTTCGTTGGATCATTTCTCACACCTCGTCTCTGTTCTGCGAGGGTTTATGATATTATATTGTATTGTATTGTCTTGTTTTTAATTTTTTAGTTTTTTTTTTTTTTTATTGTTTTTTTTCTTTTGTTTTTGGTGGGGTTCAGGGTCTCTCTCTTCTCTCCTTCTTTTCCCTCCCCCCCCCTGACAAATTTGTTATTTTTTTTTTGTTGTTATGTGTTGGGAGGCAGGCTGGACGAACACAACGCATGCATCATGGATGGTGGAGTACGTGCTTCTCTCGCACTTTTAATAGCAAGGCATATGACGAAAGTTAGTTGATAGTTGGGAGCAAGACAGGCTTATTTACAATTGTAGGGATTTAAAGCAGATGCCATTATAGTATATAAAAGAGCTAAAATATCTAGAGTGCATCGTCATCACAGATTAAGATCAAGGTTCGTATGTATATGCCAGTTATTATCTCTCTCAGTTATTAAAACAGTGCTGGATCCTCCTACCAGTTTGATCTGATTGTTCGATATATCGTAATGAGATGGACAGAATTTAACAATAAGCATAAATGGTTAATCAAGGGGTAGCAGGCACCCTGTAATAGACACTGGGAACTAACAACTTTATATTATCAAAAAGTATTGCAGTAATAGTAGCTGTCTAGACATCACAAGCTTTCTATCACAGAAATCTCAAACAGCATAACGCGTCGACAATGGTTATGCAGAAATAGCCTCTGGCTATATCATCAAAAGTAGCTGCATATGAAGAGACCAGCATAATACCTACACCCTAAATAGAATGATATGCGGTTATACGTCGTTTTTCCAAGGGGCATGAATCCTGATGCAGTATATTCCGAGCAGTCTGTATCTATGATTCTCACAACCTGCGATCACTTGCACGCATCTATAGCAACTCTTATCACAAGTTCTGGGGTTTGATTATATTCCACTAGAATTCAAGAGAATCCAAAGGGAGTACAGAGAAAAATGACACAATGAAAATACGCTTTAGCGTTTTGGCGTGACACAACAATGCAATGCCAGCTACCCTTAATTGGGAAGTCAAACGGTTTCACACAACGCTCCCACTCCCAAGCCCAGTTAGCATGTCAATAAGTGGTGATACCTAAATGCTACACACTTAGGCTCAAATTTGTGAATTATAAACAGAGGGGATTATATCGCGCATTCATACGCGTTTTTTACCTAAGTGAAGGTAAACGTCTGACATAACATACTCACTTTTAAGTAATAGCGACAAGAAAACTTTCTCAAAGCGGATGACAGAACGATGGCTAGATTGATACTGTATATAATAGTACAAAGGAGAAAACGTCTGGAAGTAACTTGGGCATTTTTGTCCATGTATTGCAACGTAGCTGTAGTTGAAATGTATGCCTCGCACACTGTATTTACAATAAGTAGCTATCGGAAAACTAATACATCAAGCAACAGAAGTCAGCCCCAGCCCGGTCGAGCTCTGTCTTAACTTAAACCTCCAAATCAATCATGGCAATAATAAGAAAAGTATAAAAATACCCAATAATAGCAAGTTTATAGAATCCATACAGGCCTCATACATCCTCAAAGAGCGACACTCCATCATATCAGGCTACACACTATAGGTGAACGAACCCATAAATGCAGTCAATCTGTTCAGAACAGATCTGAGCACACAATACACTCTCAAATAGATGCCTTTCAATAGGCCACAGGACACGCACGCATCTACAGGTTTTGACGATCAATTATCAGGTATACGACGGCTCCGGTCATATGAGCCACTTAACCAGACCACAGAGCCGAAACCAATAATAAGTCGCAATTAACAGAAGTGACAACGTTGTTTTGTACATCATACTGATATTGGCTATGTCTGAGAGCTGTATTATCAAATGATGTCCACTCATGCACTATTACTACTATATTCGAGTACGCCAGAAGATAATTAAGTAGATTGCTCAGGAAATACTAAATCGCGGTGCTTGCGAGACGCTGAACTGAATAGTATCTCAGGGAGGTAACAGATCAATACTCCGTTTTCGGCGCGCGCCACCCACCATATACTACTGCACTAGCATATGGCACCCGGTTGGAAAGACATCGCCCCAAATGTAGTTCCGTTCTCTGAATGTGTATATCCGCTGCCTGACTGGCGCAGTTGTAAGTTTCTTGACTGGTCGTTCCCGCTCCTAGACTGCGCTGTTGTTGTTCTTATGATTGGTTTGTTCACGACTTACAGATTGTATCAAACAAAATAATAAAAATATCTGAAACAAACATAAATGTCTCGCAAACTTAGAGCTCCAGCTGTAAATAAACATCTCAGTCCGGTACTAGCTCGATCAATGAAATACTACGCTAAAAAGAAATACTTCAATAAGCCGTATGTCGAAAACCTTAAAACACGATAAACCTCAACAGACCACTTACTGATAGGCCACATGTTAGTTATTTGACACGATCGTAATTTCACGCCGCACATGATGCGCTATAGTATGTTCACTAGCATCGGTCCTGTCTCAGCTCTGATGCGCTGTTGATCTGATCAATAGTAAGAATGTATGTCTTCCACTGACCTGATGGCGGCTGTTGTTTCTTCCTTAGATTAGTTCAGCTCGCTCCTGATGGCGCTGTATCGTTTGTTCATGCCATAGCGTTGGTCCGCTAGTCCGAAGGATGCTGCAGATTCTTATATCGATTAATTTGTCTAATTATATTTACTAGAATGGTGGTTCTGATTTGTTATATAATGAATGAGTAAATAGCTATTCTCTTGCGGGCAATTATACATGAGAGACGTAAGACGTACAAGACAGACATTCGATCAATTGTTGTGACTCGTCATACTATATGATTGCGGTAAGAGATGATCTTTTATAAGTGTATTGTCTTATAGTTCAAATCTATCGTACATCATATAAATTCAAACCAAGATCAGAAGGCAGTCGAGTGTGAGTCAACTCATGAGTAGATAGAAGGTGAAGATCATGATCTATCACTCATATGGAAATGATGCCTCGACGCCTGTATAGTGTTAGTTCTGAGCTCCTCCAAGAATCAGCAGGCGAGGCACCTCAAAGAGTATGAGTGATAAGTAGTTATAGTGCTAAGCAAAATATTCAATGTATAAACTGGACGTTGTATAGCGATAAAGGAGCTAGAGTGCACGCGTCTACATTTTTTTTCAACATTTACTTCTTATTGTGTCCACCAGAGTCAAACAATAGTAATACATACTGACACTAATAATCCATTAGGATATTCATTAAATGTAATCTCCGACAAGTCAAGTGTGGGATCTCCTGATAGCCTCTACAATAGACTGATCAGTATCTGCGGATATGAGATCCATGAGGAGTAAGTTAACACACCATATGCTAGATCATATACGAACTGAACAATCAGGCCCGATAGAGATTATAATGCACTTAAATCATCAGACCGAAAGATGTACTTAATGGAAGTTGGTACCTCTGCTGTCCATGTCGTAGATTGCTGTTATTCAGTGAAGAATTAGCAGAATGCCCTCACCTGTGAGTTGATAATACTGAGAATATTTACACGTCTTTTCTATAGTTTAGTACAGGTAATAATCTCTGTAATAAGCATCGTACATCGGGAATCTGTTTCCTGATTAATTGTTATATCTCCTATTGTATACTCCGTATTATAACTTTGTATTATAGAGTTACTTTTCTGATGTTATGTATATTGAGTACCTCGTTGTTTCCTATATTTTCCTCCCCTATACTATTCATGTTTGTTTATAAATTTTAGATTTTATTAATTATCTTATTATATGATTAATCTATCTAATAGATGATATAAAACGTACAACAATATATGAATGTGTATTATAACTACTATATATTTATATTAGTAAATTTATGATGATATAGCTTTTAATTTAGAACTCTTCTATTTTATTATCAGAGCTCACACCATAGTGATAAACATATATGATGATAGAAGGTATTTTTAGTATCTGTGACGAAAGAAGCATATTTCTCAATATTATATTGTTCTATTGATCGTAAAATAATGATCATTTATAATAGATGAAACGGAATTTTTCGATTTTAATTTAACGAATATTATCCCTCATGTTTATATAATAATAACTGGATATGATAACTCAACATTATAATATCTGATTTATATGTTATAATATTTCACAGATTCTTCCTATAATAAATGATGTATACCATATATATTTATTATATATCTATTTTCATACTATAATTACTAGTTAATTGATCAAACTACCCTACTGCACTCAATATACCCTATTTAATCTTTCTTTATCTCACCCTTGGAAATTCGTGCGTCCATGCATTAATCTCCCACCAAAGACTTTCAAAGAACCCATAACAGTCCCCAGCATTTCTTGTTGTTTAAATCAAACTTACATGTGAACGGAAAACCTAGTTTCAGCCACATAGCCTAACAAACTCATAAAATGACCGCAACATTTACAGTAACAGAGATATTATATTTGAACTCTAACCATGGAATGATCTATCGATAATCCTATCTAACGAGTAATACCTTATGCTAACTTTCTTTGTTTATTATTCAGCAGAATTAAAGAAGTTTCTTTCAATTTCACATTACTTGTCACAGTAAGATTAAAAGTATCGAGCTACCAAAAATAAAACACACATGTCACGTAGCCAATTGTGACAAATCACAACATCCAAATGAGATGCAACATGATATAGAGTGACGATAGAACGGTAACGTTCAAAGTGACAACACTCACTGGTGCATACACGAGACATACGGAGTACCAAGAAGCCATGATCATTGAATTACCCAGCACTCTCGTCCCTCCGCCCGAGAAACCAATAGCAAAATTACACGAATGTTAACAGAAGAGTAGAAGTAATATGCGAAATCTTAGAAATATGGTAGAAAAAACATACAACCAGCAGGAATAGTCCATCAGGCCAGAATACACAGAAGCAACACACAGGAACCAGACCCTGCCTTAAAACGAATCGAACGATAAAAAATAACCCAGCCCATAAACGCTATATAAACTGACGGTAAGACACTAAGACAGCGAGAGACAAACACCCACACAAAATCCAACGGACATCCACAAGTACAGTGCAAGACACCTACCCACAGGGACTCAACAACATACCTGTAAGAAATCCACAGAGCATCCATGTGAACACACTATAACTGTCCAACACGCAGGTTAACCACCGGCATCAGCGGTAAGTCAGCAAGAACAAACACCCTAACAGCCGCCTGGCGCCAGAAGCACCAATAAAAAGCCAAAGATCCAACAGATCCATTTTGCCATATCCCTAATCCCTTCCCATGCTATCCTCTTCCGTCACATCGAGTTCTATAAGCCACTTATAAAAATGGTAAACCGTGCTACAAGTACGTGTGTGAGACTTATCGAATTCAGCACCTATCTATAAAGCAGTTATGAATAACTCAATGAATCGCAGAATAGTGACTGTAACTGATACAGATAAGAATGAAAGTAACATTCTACTGCGAGGAAAAACTTTCGTCCTAAGAACATGGTAATTAAAAACGTGTCTACAGCGTGTCGACCTTGCACACCAAATCAGGAGAGTTTCGTCACTCACTGACAAATTCCAATATCATACCCGTATAAATGTTGTTCCTGATGGTTGTCCCGCACCGAAGAGTGCTGCTGTTGTTCTTAATGATATTTCTGGTTTTTCTAATGGTGGTTCTGATGTTGTTTGTGATGTTGGTATCTTGGCACCAATCTGTAGAAAACACATCGATCAATGTTTTACTCTCATACATCAATTCTAAGGAAACTTTTTAGTTCTGGTCTGTTTCATCTTCACACTGGCTTGGTGCAAACAAACCAAGAGATGTAAGCATGAAGTCATATTGACTAACAGGTAGCTCATTCCATTGCACGTTTTGGTGACTAGTGCTGCACCTTATGTGTTTATTTCTGTTTTCACAAAGAGCTGAAAAGAACGAGGTGACTAAGTACTATTCAAGACAACAACTGGACGTTGTTGCATAAAGAAGAACTCCTTTTTACCATAGTAACCATAGTAATCTTGCATAATTAGACCATTCATATCATTAATTTTCCCCCACATTAGTTCTGGAATCCTGAACCATTTCTGTTCAGGATTCTTTGTAATAAGTTAGTGTGAATACGAAAGGGAACAATTATCAAGAGCGAATGACAAGAGTGACCTCGGTGTAGATTTCTGTTTTCAGTGGAAAATAACACATTCCCACTGTGATTCAAACCTATAAAACTTCTTCATGTTGTTTGCTGGTTAAGCTTCAGAACTTTGTAATTCAACCTGCTTTTCCTGAAAACGTCTAAATTTCCTCCCTGTTGTATCCGAACCTTGACAAGATGTATTGATGTCTGTTTGGACTGCGTGCTTACCTCATACTCTTTCATGTCATAGACACATACATCCTTATGAACTGCAAAGAAGAAAAAGGAGACACGAGTTAAATTAACATTGACACTAGTTTATTAGATTAGTAATGTACGTGTGTAGAAACTAGGATAATCTATTTCTACAGGGCACAGAAATAAATGGATAGAGATTTTTGACGGGAGAAAAGCATTTTCTTCAAAACTGCTTTGAAAGGCCCTTAATGTGAGGATTGATTATTTCAGATTTAACTAACTAATAAACTGTGAACAAATATTAACATGTATGAATCACAGTTCTTCCTTTATTTACTAATATTTTGAGCTTTTTTTTCTCAAAACTAGTATTACACTACTAGTTATATTATTTTCCTGCTACACACCACACAATTGGAAATTGCATATTTTCTCCCCAAAGTTCAGACCCAAAATCCAGTTTTGTTTGTTAAATCAAAGTAATGGAAATATTTCCAGCCACATATAACACCTTAATGAGAATGTACAGTACGGTTTTACTCATGGCTGCTTGCAGCTATACAACAGTAATACCTGATGCTAATTTCTGTTTATTTATTCAGCAAATAAAGTTCTGCATCACATACTGTGCACCAGAAGATAATCCTATGTTGATAGACTAGAGTCACATACCACACGTGTAGGACTGGCAGCAGATGCCGTAGGTGATGTTGCGTTCGTAGCCCACCGGGCAGGTCTTAAGAGGGGGACACAGGCTTACATTGCATTCTGTTGGGGACAAATGGGTGGGATGATTAGCAGTATGTGAAGGTGGAGAAAGCTAATAATTCACCACAAGTTAGCAGGAGACTCTGCTGAGAGCCAGGCTCTCTTAACATCACCTGCATTAACCTGTGTTTTGCTTGATAGAAAGACTATAGATCTCCAGATGCAGGTCACATGTTAATATCAGGTGGACAGGAGTTCTACACCAGTGCCATGATTGAATTGAGAGTGACTTGAGTGTTTTGTGACATTACAACTGACCACATGACGATGTTGTGCAGCAGCTGTCTGTCTTGTTGACCAGCTGCTGGCCAGACTCGCTGCAGTTGGGGCTCTGTACCGGTGGGCACACAGCAGGCTCACACCGGATGCTCATGGAATCCTTGTCACACAAGCACTTGTCGCAGCCACTCGTCCATGTGTCACCAGGCTGGTCAGGACAAAGGAACCAGTTCAGACACATAGCTCATGCTTTGCTTGTGTACAGTAGATGAATATACGTGTAAGACAGAGTTCTCACCTGTTTGGGTTTCCCATCGGGTCCGACACAATCTGGAATTCAAACAGAAACAAGTGTTGTGTTGTGAAACAAATATTCCATGTCCCAGTCAAATCAAGTTTCCTAGAGGATCTCCTCTTACCACAAGAGGTGACACACGTGTCATAGACGGTGTTGAATAAGGTGGTGCCATGAGGACAGAAGCAACCCTCCTTAGTCTTGTCAGTGGATGCAATGCTATCAGCCTGGAACTTCTTGTTGTATCTGTTGTCAGAAATGGAATTACTGGTTATTACAGTAGTGTGAAGACCCAAATATAGTAATAGCCTTTCATTGTACAGTATATCTTTGGGGTTGTCGTCATGTCTCTCTGATAGTTTTACATTCAATTATCACATATCAAAAAATACATTGAATGGTTTTTAAGATATTCTTCTCACACACTATCAAGCAACAAAACTAAACCCTAACCCTCCACTAGGGACATTTAACTCAATGCTTCAGTGGCAGCAGAAATGTGAGTATATGTATCAGGTAAGTAAATGTTATGTTCATACTTTACCTGTCATTGCATGTCGGCTCTACAGAGGGGCCACAGGCCATGTACACTTTGTTGCTTGGACAATTGTGCTCTGTAAGATGGAGATATGTTTATATATGCACATTTTCCAGAACTCAACAAATACATTATTGTACACTATAGACTATGTATCTCACCACATTTCCCATTGGTGGAATTCCTCCAGTCAATACAGACTCCTGCGTTAGAGCACTCGGTGGCGTAGGCTTCCAGGCTGGAGCAGGTGTTATTGCCGCCGTTGCAAATGTTGTACGTACAGGATTTCACAAATGGTCCCGGAGGTATGACTGAGTGGCACGGGACAAATACACTAGAGGGGACATACAACCCAGGACGGTTTGTCAGGAAAAGTGATCAGAAGGCTTTGCACACACCATGTGACCAGAAAAATATAAACATCGTCAAAGTAAACAACCCTAACTAAGTGACGTATTTTATGGATATTTCACGTTGTATAACAGTGATTATCTGGTTA